AAAGCATGATTTGCTCAGACAGTGCAATCCCTTGCATGTTCATTTCTACACTTTGGGGTCAGCACCCAGGTGGCCTCATTGACTTCTAGCTGCCAGTCGATGAACAGAGGGTATTCCTGAGTGTAGGCCAGGTCTTTGTTCTGCATTGCCTTCGTTAGGCTTCCATTGCTAGGTACTGAAGACGGCTTTCCTGACCGTCTCAGTGCTGTCATGGGATAAGCCACAAGTACCAACAACTTGTTTACTCATTGCCTCTTTACCTCATTGGGCTCCCACAGCCAGACGTCAAACGTTGGTTTCCGAAGTGCTTCTATGGTCTCCTGAGACAGCATGTACTGTAGACAAAAAGACAGTGTCTATTATTAACCAAAACTGAGTTCCCCTCATGTCTTTGTGGGAGCTGCATTCTGCCCTCATCAGAAGTTCTCCGGCATGCCATTAATTAATTTTCCAAAATGTAGTGCCTCAGCCATGATTAGGTAAAATTCATTGTCTTTTGTTGGTTTTAATCTTAAATTCTTCATATTTTGGGGATGAAATAGTTAACTGCAGGTGATTTATATTGTTATTTTGAACAGCTGTTTTTCTCAAGGGTTCCCACATTTCAATCAGGTGCCAGGCAGCAAAATGATTGTTTATTGTTTACTCAGAGCTCCAAAACAAAATCCAACTCAACCTCCAGCAGGACTTAAAGTGTGCTGGGCTGGCACAGGACACAGACCCTGGAAATAACATTTCTAAAAAGCAAGGTGGGTCACCAAGGGTGCACATTTTTAGTACCCCTGGGTGTAAAGCCCCTCTGATTACTTGCTTTCCCTGCTTGCCTGCATCCTGCGGAAGTGCAGCCAATCAGAGCTGCTGCAGGAAGCAGGCAAGGCTCTTTCCCTCTCCCCTCAGGAGCTGACACTGTTCTCAGAGAAGGGGAAGGGAAGGAGGGAGTAGAAAGAGACCAGCAGCTCAGGGCTGGTGGTCGTGTTGGTGGGGCTGGGGAGACAGGATTGATTTGGAGGTTGGGGGCAGGGGATGGGCAGATGTGGAGGGGATCACAGACCTCTCCCCCCCACACATTTTTTTTACAGCACTTTAAACATTTGACCCCCAGTGTTCTGGGTTGTTACTGGGTTGGTAACAATCGCTGGCAATTTGTAAAAAATTCTAGAGTATTAGAAGATGTGTAAGGTATCTAACCACTATTGAACAGTGTTTTTGAGACCACGTGATCAAAATATTCTTGGAATACGTAAACCTAGTAGCTTAATTGGTCCACTTACCAAAGTTGGCTGTAATTAGTTTTGGTATTCTATACTGAGAATATAAATGAAATTATCTGAGCCACTACATTGTTATTTAATTCAAGCAAGAATTACATTTGAGGATTAATTCTCCATCTCCGGAAGGCAGTAATCTTGTGTTTGCATGATACTTTATTTGTAGTATAGAGTTTTGCTAGACAGCTTTAAATTAGCAATATTGATGTATTAATTAATAACAGCACTGTAATGACCAAATCTGTTTCAAGTGAACTGCCACCTCCTAACACGCCTGAGGTCACACAAATCCAGTATTTAAAGCCATAACAAATGTCACACACAGAGCAAACAAAACCGAAACTTCTCCTAAAACCAAGCAATTAAAAGCCTTTGGCCCTAGCAGAAAGGAACAACATCTTACCACTGTGTTCAGTTAGTGCAGCTCTCAACAGTAATAGTTAATCTCAGAAGCCAAGCATTCTAGCAGTGGGTAAAAGGTGAAGGCATAGTTGCCGTCTACATATCGTGGAACAAAGGAATGTAGACCAGTTTGAAAAAGCATGTGTTAGTAGTGTCAACAACACATATAAATTTAAGCAAAGCCAAAATGGAAATGACATTTTATAGCTCATTAAATCCATTTCCAAGAGACAGATGCCAGGACTACATAAATTACTTTAACTGAAAAATACTTCACTGAGAGGAAAAAAAGTAGAAGCGCCATTACAGAATAGAGAATAAAGTTATAGACTATAATAAATCTTGCTCTGAGACGGCAGACTAAGTATCATTAAATAAAACAGAACACTAAATGTTCGACAAATTTCAGGAATTCAGTAACATTTTCAGCATTAATGAGATTCCGAATATTAAAGGTTATTGAGGGTTGGATTTCAAACCCATTGAAATCAATGGGAGTCTTTCTATTGGCTTCCAGGGTCTTTGGATTAGGTCCTCCATCTACACCAGTGGTTACCAAAGTGGTGTCCCTGGACTCTGGGGGATTTGCTGTGGGTCATGTGGGGGTCTGTCCCTTGAGCCAGGGCCGGAACATGCTGGAACAGCATTCTGGTATTTTTGCTGCATGGAGGATGCTATTTTGTATTCAACATGACATCCTCAGCACAGCGTGACCGTTCGCACACTGTGCGTGAGTGGTCATGATGGCAGGGGTATTCCCACGTTGGTGGGGTTGTTCCAATAGTACAGGAAATGAAAGGGGTCGCAGACAGTCAGTCAGATGCCAAAGGAGTCCTTGGTGGGAAAAAGTTTGGGAATCCGTGATCTAAATGATTAAGCTAAAGAGTGATGGGAAGTCATGCATTGTATTCCAGCTCCTCATGGGAAGGCATGCTCTATAAATTAATATCCTGATAACAAAGTGCATCTTATGGTACCTTTGGATAGGATGGTACGTCTCTTCGGGGTGTCAACTTCTTGTTTTCATCTATGAAGCTGTACTTACAGGGACAGCTGGTCCTGCAAATGAAAAATTCAGCCCTCAACATTGGGACAACAGCAGGTGCATTCTCTTGAGTAGCATTGACTATATTAAAATATCTTGGTATGAGGTCACATAGAGGGTATGTCTACACTGCATCTTAAGCCTGAGTTCTAACTCAGGTTGAGCCCAAGCCCCACTTCCATTCACACACAAATCAGTCTATCTCGAGTTAGCAAGCACTTGGTGCCTGGGTTTTAGGACCCACTAGGGCAGGGGTTCTCAAACTGGGGGTCGGGACCCCTCAGGGGGTCACGAGGTTATTACATGAGGGGTCACAAGCTGTCAGCCTCCACCCCAAACCCCGCTTTGCCTCCAGCATTTATAATGGTGCTAAATCTATTAAAAAGTGTTTTTCATTTATAACGGGGGTCGCACTCAGAGGCTTGCTATGTGAAAGGGGTCACTGTAGACGTCCGGGGTGGGGCTCGTCCCTCGCAGGGGCGAGTGGGAGCCAGGCCGCCTCTCTACACGAGGCTGGGGAACAGATCAGTCTCGCAGGTCCAAGC